GCCCGGCCGACGCCTGCAGCTGCTCCCCGGTGCACCCGCAACAGGCATTTTGCAATGCAGACGTAGGTAAGGACGGCGACCCCGCCCCGGCCCGCTGCTCACCTCCCCCGCGGGGCGCGCGGGACCCCCAAGGTTTCGCCGGTGCCCCGCCCGCCCGCATCTTGCAGAGGGACCCAGCGCCCGCCTCCCAAGCGTCGGTGCCTTCTAGAATCCTGCAAGTTGACGCCAAAATCGTACTTTCTTTTCCCTCTTCCTTCTCTCCCTTTCTTTCCTCGCTGCCGAGATGCTTCTCAACCTCAAAATTCCACCGAAATTCCGCTGCAGCTCCAGCCCCAGTAAAGGGAGCCAGGGAACGGATTGGGTTTTGGCAGGCAGAGGGCCCTGGGATGCCGGCGCCGGGGGCAGGGAGAGTGGGGGACACAGCGTGGGGGTGGGGAAGCCTCGGCCTTGGTGGGTGGAAGGATTGAGGACCCCAGGAAGAAACTTTCACAGGTGAGACGGCAGTTGGGCTGTTCTGGGCTTGGAACTGGGTAGGGAGGGGCTGCTCTACCTGGGCCTCTCCTTCAGCCCCGTGTAGGGTTCACCAGATTCCGCAGGGGCAGGATGGAAGCTTCCTTCCCCTGGGCAGGTTCCCCCTAGGCCCAGAGGGGCAGCAGAGCCCCAGGGCAAGCTCCTTGCTCCATGCCCTGCCCAGGAAGCATGGCACACAGGGACTGGCAGAGGGGTCCTTGAGTGGCGAGTGCTTTTTCAGGACATCCACACAAACAGGGGATTTTGGTGACTGGAGGTTGCAGGTAGGGTTGTAAGACTGCGTAGAGTTCCCCCCAAAATATATATTAAACCCTCAGAACCCCCGAGGGAAGGAGGAGATGGTTATTTGTCCGGATCCATAGAGGGGCAGGGGACAGAAGTGGGGAGAAGGCAGCAGAAATGGGAGGAACCAGCTGGGCCCTGGAGGTTTCCATCCAGGTGTGACAGTTGCAGGCTTCTACTGCCGCAGTGACAGTGACTATGACTGACTGCCAGGTTTTCCTGGGGGTGGGTTCAGTTAAACCACTAGGACAGATGCACAGCAGGTGGGCCTCTGCAGCTTCCTCTGACTTCCCAGCAGGTTTTCTTTTCTGCCTGTAAGTCACAGCCAACCCATCACCCTGTCTCAGGCCAGGTATGCTGAGTCCCAGCTGCCCTCTCCTGTGTAAACTCAAAGCCTGGGTCTCTGGGTTTCCTCCGTGGCAGCCACGCCCCTCTGATCTCCTACACTTGGCTCCTGGCCACAACCCAGCCTGGCGGGAGGCCTTCAGGTGCTCCTACCTGTGTGCACCCCGGAGCTCAGGCCACCTGTGCTCGGGGCGTGGTGTGTGCTCGCAGGGAGGTTGCCACAAAACCCCGAATCAGGGGTGGGGTGGAGGGGGACTAAGTTCTGTTCTCCCATTTGGCTTCGGCGCTCAGCAGGATTTAAAAGGGGAAGGAGAGGTTGCTTCCCGTGGGGGAGCCAGAATGGGCCCGCCCACAGGTGTCTCCTGGAAGTCCAGGCCTGTCTGGGTCCCACGCTGAGAGACTGTGCTTGTAGGGCAGAATCAGGCCCAGAAGGAATCCGTGGCTTAGAAGGCTCCCGGGCTTGGCTCACAGCAGAAAGGGGCTGGGCCTTGGGACCCCCTGACAGCCCTTGACTGCACAGAGAATGCCCAGCCAGCCACACCCATCCTTGCCTGGCATCCGCGGGGCAGCACTGGGGCTGTTTTTGCTTTGGGTTTGGATCAAGGGCAGCAAAGGTCAGGTTCCGGGAGTGTCCGCAGGCCTCAAGGCTCCTCCTTGCTTCGTGCATTATCCTCTCTCCCCAGCTCCCTGGCACTTGTGCCCAAACCACCAAGATCATGTGGAGCCAGAACTTTTAACCCCAGCCCAGCCCAGTCCAGGGGTCCCCCCTTGCAGAGTCCAGTGCACTAGATTCCCGTGGCTGCTGTAACAAGGGACCACGCGTTGGGGGGCTTAGAACAGCAGGAATTGGTTCTCTCTCAGTTTAGGGGCCTAAAGTCCAAAATGAAGGTTCTGGCGGGGCAGATTCCTTCCGGAGGCTCTAGGAAAGAACTGCTCCAGGACCCTCTTCAGGTCTCTTCCCACAGCTTATAGACACATGGCTCCAATCTCTGTCTTCACACGCCACCTTCTCTGTGACCTCTCTCTCCTCTTATAAGGACACCAGTCCTTGGATTTAGGGTCCACCCAGTCCATGATGACCTCATCTTAACTTAATCGTATCTGCAAAGACCCTGTTTCCAAATAAGGCCACATTCCCAGCTTCTGGGTGGACATGAATTTTGGGGGGGATGCTCTGCAAGCCAGGCTGTCATGTCTTGTTCCACAGGCAGCCCCTTTGTGCTCAGCCGACCGGGGATACCTTGCTGAGACGTCCCAGGGTGCAGGCCCCACGTGGCCGTGGGTAAACCCCACAGCGAAGGCCGCGGCCTTTCCTCGTCCGCTTCCCCTTTGGGTGTTGCAGGTTCCTGACTTCCTCAGTAGTGATTCCCTGCTCTGGCTGAGAGCAGAATTGCCTGGAGTCTGGGTCCCTTTGCAGATATAGAAAGTCTGACTCACACCTCAGCTTTTGTAGTTTTGAAGCCCTACAGGTGACTCTGTGCCGCCAGAGCAGTGGCCCAGAGGTCTGGAGAGGGTGGTGGCCTGGCGCGTGTTGGGGTCCCTAAGGACTGACCTTGAATGCAGCGTGTGGGCTCCTTTCGCTGGCGGCTGGATGAGGCTGGTTGAAGGACTCGCTGTCTGTAGGAGGCAGCTGGCTTAGGAGACAGGCGCAGTTCTGCCTGCCTGTGGGTGGATTCCTGGGAGGCATCTCCTTCGCTCTTGCAGCCAGTAGGACTGGAACTGTGGTTGACAAAAAGGGTTTATTACAAAGTTACGAGATTTAGAATGGAGGGATGGAGGAGGTGACTGGGTCTCCTCCTGGAAGACCCTGCTCCCTGGCCTTTTTCCAGGAAAATGAGGACAAGAGGGAAGCACTTCACGTCTCAGCGCGGCTCGGATGTGCGGCTGGCCCATTTCCCTCTCGTCTGATGGCGCCCCTCGCCATCTCCCGCAGGGCTGCACAGCTCCAGTCGTCTGGCTGGAGACCAGCTCTGGGCTGGTACTTCAGGCAGTGCCACGGTGCGGGAGCCTGGAGTAACTTAGCCGACTGAGCGGCTTGGCAGACCCAGGCTGCTCCAGCCAGTTTCTGGAGTCGTAAATCCAGGAGCTCTCTGGCCCCAGAGAATAAAATCTCCCCTCCGTCCTAGGCGGCGGGGCCCAGAGCCGCTGTGTCCCAGAAGCACACCGGCGATGCCATCTTTCTGGGGGTGGTCCCATCTCCAGACGCTGCTTTCCACAGACCCTCTGATGGTCTCCAGCACCATTTGGGGCAGGGCCCACAGCCAAGGCCACATGCTGGTTGCCAGCGTGCATGGGCTGGCCTTGGGGACACGCTGATGGGGGCCAGATAGTGGCCACCCAGGAAAATACGCCACAAGTACTCAGAAATGGCAGCGACCTCAGCAAACACATGCTGGGGATAAGCAAGGAGGGAGATTCCTGTGAGTTGAGTGAGGCCTTGAGTGCACGGGGGCAGGAGGCAGGGGCGGTGCCCTTGAAAGACACTGTTGGTAACTCGTTTTGCAGAGTGTGTAATCGGTGTGTGTTTTGTACATCCTGGTCATCGTTGTCAGTCTCCCGGTTTCCACAAGCTGTTACGGAGTGGCCGGCTCCGCCCCAGGGGCTGTAAGGAAGGCGTTTTCTACCCTCAGGAAGGAGTGCCGGACACTGGTGCTGGGTAGCATGGAAGCAGGTGTAAGACTGTGGATCAGGTGGGCAGAAGCCCTGCAGACCCCCATCCTGACCGCCAGGTCGTGGTATAAAGTAAGTCAGACACCACACGCTTCTGATAAATGACTAACAAAGAAACTGTGTCGGAAGGTGAAAGGCATTTGTGGATCTGAAGAGAAATTCTGGGTTCTGGTGGGAGGAGGGGGGGTGCCGTGGGAGGCACTCAGGTTCCTGGGCTTGGTTTTGGACTATGTCCCCAGAAGATGAATTCTCCAGGGTTGGGAGACAGGCAGAGGGAAGAGATGTGTGAGGGCCCGCAGGCTGTGCTGTGGGCATGACTGTGGCTGGGAGACACTGCTGGTTCCTCCTTGTCTGTGACCTGAGGCCGTGGTGCCAGCCTGCAACCTGGGACCTGCTCCATCTTCTGCAAACCTGGATGCTGGTTTGGGTCCTGCCTCTCTTCTCCCCCTCCTCAGCTGGGTTGCCAGGTGCATCCCACTGGTGCGGGTGTAGACAATTTGGGCAGGGGCACAGGTTGGGGCACACAGCCACCTTAGTCCTGACGCAGAGCCTTGGATCCAGTGCCCACGGGGCTGTGGGAACAGATGAACCCCTTGGGTTCCAAAACAGCTAAGAGATGTGCTTTGGGGAACCCGAGGTGGTCGGAGGATGGGAAAAAAACAGCAAGAAAAAGAAGCATGAAGGAGGTCAAGAGAAGGCAGACTGAAGATGGGGTGTAAGTGCCCCCAGCTCTTCCTGTTCTGGACGCCCTCCACCCTGCAGCCCTCACAAATGAGGGCCAAGGGCAAGTGGTCTGCTGCCTAGGGCGGTCTTTCTGGAAAGAGAAAAGCAGAGTTGGGAAATCAATGTTGGAAGCATAACGAACCCTAGATTGGAGGACGGAGCTGGGGGAACATGTACCCAGTTAGGGTAAAGGGCGTTATTTCCTCGTGCCAGTGGACAGGCTGCCGGGAAAGGTGAGAGAGAGTTCTAGGTACAGAGCAGGCTCGGGTGCAGGAGGGCCCAAGGGAGGGTAGGACCAAACTTCTGGTTTATCACGGTTGAGAGGGAGGGGGTCTGCGTTCCAGCCCAAGGGCTCGAGGCGAGGCATCAGGGATGTGCGCCTGTGGGTGACAGCGGGCATCGCCAGGGAGGTGGCTGGAAGACAGGTGTCTGAATCAGCGTCCCGTATTGGACCCTGGGGGCCCAGAGTGTGGGCACCGACATTGCTCAGGCTCTCCAGGGGGTTCTGATGCCCA